AAAAAAAAAAAATGTGGAGCAGTTGCAAATAAATACAGTAACTCAGCCACACCGCTTACGTTCTTCCAGCTTTCGTGGAACTCGCCTTCCCTTTGTCGCCTTGCCTTTGATCCATTGCATTCAGGACCGCCGAATCGAGGAAGCACCGACTTGGATCGTACGACCGACTGGATGCAACGCTAGTCACGATGGCGCAGCTCCCGCCATACCTGGTGCGCGTTGTGGCGACGATCCTCACGCAGGCGCTCACGCGGAAGCTCGCCCAGTCTCCACTGTTTTTCCGCATCGTCGACCGCATGATCCACGAGATCGACCACGTGCCACACAGGATGCAAGGCCGACACGTTCCCACGTACCAACCGCCCATCGGCATGCGCGAGAGCGAATGGGACCAGGACCACGGCGAGCCGCACAACGAGCCGTCGCCGTTCCCAGCTGTGGGCGCCAAGGATGGCAAGCAAGTTGGAGGGGACGGCACAAGCGGGGCGAAGATGAGCTTCGAAGAGGCACAGAGGCAGCGCGCCAGAACGTCCTACCAGCAATCGCAAAGGATTGCGCAGAGAGACCGGGCAAGGGCGCAGGCAGAGCAAAAGACGGCGCAGAACGACAAAGTGGCGCGCGAGCTCAGAGAGTTGCAGGACAAGCTGCGAGAACTTCGTGGAAAGCCCTAGTGCTCTGGGCAAGACAATGTGTCGGACCGAACAGCGTAGGTGCTACGCGGCTATGTGCCCCCGCGGCTATCTTTGTACCAATAGGATCCCTCGTCAAAGAGGACCAGCTCATCTGTACTTGTAGACTTAATTAAAGCATGCTTCCGCCGCGAACGCAATCTCAATATCGGAACCAGAAGACGCGAACGGCCACGATCTGTCGAGTGAATCTCGGTGCCGGAAGGTCTTGGGTGAGATAGGGTCGCTCTCTTTAAGCTGTGGGTTTAGTGATAGGAGCCTGAAGCAATGGACTTTGCTGAAAATGCACGCTGCCGGGTGCCGAGTGCCGATTTTACGGCCGCATTGCCGATCCACGTCTGGCTATGGGTGCCATTCTGAGCTGGACGGACTGGGAAAGCGCTTCTTGCGTGCAAACGTAGGAAGCGGGCGGGGCTGCGACACGCGAGGCCGGGACGCGCGGCTTAATGCCCACTTTACGCGACACGCGTCTGACGCGTCAAATCCATTTACACGTCGAGCAGCTTTGCGCTCGCGAGACGAAAAAAGGGCGGCAGGCAACGCACACGCGAACAGTCAACATCTGCGTCGCGCGCAAAGAAACACACGGCCAGCGGCACGCACGCGCGCCAGTGAGCGAGTGCTCTTTCGCCCAGGTTGGAATGCGAAGGCGAGAAGAGGCTGAGAGCACAGCGGCCGCATCAACACAGAGTTCACCCAGCCAGGGCGGCACCAACACTTGTCTCTGCACCTCTTCCTTCGGCATCCATCTCAATCCTGCTCCATCTGCTAGGCTCTTCACCTTCTTATCACGCACACACACGCACATCATCGACGGGATAGAAAAGGCGACGACGGGTCAAGCACACGGCTAATACGCGGCCTCCAATCTCAACTCCTCATCAACTGCAAGCATGTCGTCGTCGTCTGCAATGCCGTCGTCTCCCTTGGGCAGGGTCGGCGGTGCGACACGAAGCACAGACCAGAATCGTCTCGACCCGCTCGCCTTCGGCAGGACCAACACCACAGGAGCTGGCAGCAACGCTCAGCGCGCATTCACGCCAGGCACATCCGAAGCGGGCTCGCTCAACCTCGAGCGCCAGCTGCGCGGACAATACGAAGATGACGCCAGCACCGTCAACGGAGAGCTTTCGCGACCCATGGACGAGGACTCCACACCCCGTCGACCTCGTCCTCGTGCCGCGGTCGACACACAAGACATTCCGCCCGTCGTCGACGAGGTGGGTGAGCGCGTGCGCGAGGGCTTTGCGCAGTTCCTCGAGAGCTTCGTCGACCAGCCCCTCTCCGGATCGCCCGACCCCAACGGCGAAAAGGTGCAGGACCCGCTCTACATCGACCAGATCTATGCGTTGCGCGACTACAACCGCACCACGCTCTTCGTCGACTTTAGCCACATCCTGCGCCATGACGAGGTGCTCGCCCGTGCCGTCAGCGACCAGTACTACCGCTTCGTCCCCTACCTCCGCCGCGCCCTCCTCGATCTGGTCAACACCTACGTGCCCAACTACCTCTACCTCAACGCCCACGTCGCCGCCACCGCCGCCACCGGCCTCATCCCGCGCGACTTCTCCGTCTCCTTCTACAACCTCGGCCTCGTCTCGGGCATCCGCGACCTGCGCACCGACCGCGTCGGCAAGCTCGTCTCGATCAGCGGCACCGTGACGCGCACGAGCGAGGTCAGGCCCGAGCTGCTCTACGGCGCCTTCACGTGCAACACCTGCCAGACCACCGTGCGCGACGTCGAGCAGCAGTTCAAGTACACCGAGCCCATCATGTGCAGGAATCCCGTATGCCAGAACAGGCGCGAGTGGCAGCTCAACGTCGACCAGAGCCGATTCTGCGACTGGCAGAAGGTGCGCATCCAGGAAAACGCCAACGAGATCCCTACGGGCAGCATGCCCCGCAGCCTCGACGTCATCCTCCGCTCCGAGGTCGTCGAGCGCGCAAAGGCCGGCGACAAGTGCATCTTCACCGGTACATTCATCGTCGTGCCCGACGTGTCGCAGCTCGGCGTTCCAGGCGTCAATGCGCAGATCCAGAGGGAGGCCCAGGGCGGCCGACCTGCCGAGGGCGTCAACGCGCAGGGTGTCTCGGGCCTCAAGAGCCTCGGTGTGCGCGACTTGACCTACAAGACCGCCTTCCTCGCGTGCATGGTGCAGAGCGCTGACGCGCGCGGAGGCAACGACATCCGTGCCGACTTTACCGACGACAACGAGGATCCCGAAACACTCATGGACTCGCTCACCGAGGCCGAGCGAGACGAGCTCGAGGCCATGGTCATGTCCGAAGACATCTACAGCCGTCTTGTGCAGTCGATCGCGCCGACCGTGTACGGTCACGACATTGTCAAGAAGGGTATCCTGCTGCAGCTCATGGGCGGCGTGCACAAGCAGACTCGCGAGGGCATGCGCCTGCGTGGCGACATCAACATCTGCATCGTCGGCGACCCCTCGACGAGCAAGTCGCAGTTCCTCAAGTACGTCTGTGGCTTCATGCCGCGCGCCGTCTACACGTCCGGCAAGGCCTCGTCCGCCGCCGGTCTCACGGCCGCCGTGGTCAAGGACGAGGAGACGGGCGAGTTCACGATCGAGGCAGGTGCGCTCATGCTCGCCGACAACGGCATCTGCGCCATCGACGAATTCGACAAGATGGACGTGGCGGATCAGGTGGCCATCCACGAGACCATGGAGCAGCAGACCATCAGTATCGCCAAGGCGGGTATCCAGGCGACGCTGAATGCGCGCACGTCCATCCTGGCCGCCGCCAACCCGGTGGGCGGAAGATACAACCGCAAGCAGACGCTGCGAGCCAACGTGGCCATGTCGGCGCCCATCATGTCGCGTTTCGACCTGTTCTTTGTGGTGCTCGACGAGTGCAACGAGGCGGTGGACATGAACATTGCACAGCACATTGTCAACGTTCACCGCTTCCGCGATGCGGCGATCGACCCGGAGTTTAGCACCGAGGCGATCCAGCGCTACATCCGCTACGCACGCACGTTCCAGCCCAAGCTGACGCCGGAGGCGAGCGATTTGCTGGTGGACAAGTACCGTCAGCTGCGCCAGGACGATTCGGGCCCGGGCAAAAACTCGTACCGCATCACCGTGCGTCAGCTGGAGAGCATGATCCGTCTGTGCGAGGCCATCGCGCGTGCCAACTGCCGCCACGAAATCACGCCGGCGTTTGTGCGCGAGGCGTACTCGCTGCTGCGCCAGTCCATCATCCACGTCGAAAAGGACGACATCGACTTTGACGACGAGGAGGAGCAACAGCAGCAGCAAAACTCGCCACTCAAGAGGGCGGCGACCACACAGCCATCGTCGTCGCTCGGAGCGATGGACGAGGACTCGATGGATCCCAACGGCGCGTCGATGCGCCAGGCCTCTTCGGCGGCTGCTACGGGCGGCGCGACAGGCGAGATGGCCGCGTCCTCGGGAGCGTCGAGACGCAAGATCCGCATCACGTTCGACCGGTACATGGAGATCACCAGCCTGGTGGTGCTGCGGGTCAACGAGGTGGAGCGTCAGACGATGCGCGGCGTGCTCAAGTCCGAGCTGGTCGACTGGTACCTGCTGCAGCGCGAAAACGAGATGGAAACGGTCGAGCAGTTCGAGGAGGAGACCGAGCTGATCAAGAAGGTGCTCAGCCGACTCGTCAAGGACTCGTACCTGCTCGAGATCCGCGAGTCGATCGACGACGAGGGCAACCCCATCACCGGCACCGACGTGACCGCCAGCGGCGTGCAGGGCTCGGCCGCCGATCCCGTGCTCATGGTGCATCCGCAGGTGGACATCGACAGCATCGGCGCCACCACCTCGACTGCCTGATCTGCTCTCTCTCTCCCTCTCGCTCTCTCTCTTTTTGCTTAGTTCTTGTTTCGGCTTGTAATTTTAAGGGGCTCGCTTCCGGATTCGATGAATGTTCACGTTGATCCTGCCACATTACCACTGACAGGTGGTTCCACGAGTCGACTGCGAACGTGAGCGGCTGCGGCTGCGGCTGCGGCTGCGGGGTAGGCGCTGTTGAGGGGTTGCAGCATGCAGGGTCTGGTCAAGATAGGGGGTGCTCCCCGCTCTACACCTCCATTGATGTGTCGCATCGGAGCCATTCTCTGTGCCGATATGCACGTGTCTTCGCGAGCTGGACATCAGCTCATGCATTGCGGAGCAGCATGCACCCCTGAGAGCCACGCTGACAGGGATACGAATGCGGGGCATTCATACACGGCCAATCAGCATGTGAGCTTGACGGCGGGTGTCGTAAGTTAGCCGAAATTCAGGGTCCTGCAGCCCCCTCTCTGCGCATTCGGGAGGCCTCTTTTCCGCGCATCTGGGCTGAGCCACCGCGTATCGCTGCGGCGCGGCTGGAAATGCACAATTCGGACCGCCGCCCCTTTGCCTGATAGCGTCGCCACTCGGCCCCTCTTCGGCTTGAGCTCCCACCTAAAACGGCTAGCTCCGATCGCAGGCCAGCTCCAAGCGGAGACACAACACAAGCGCAGGCCGAACCATACCTGCCATCCTCGCTCACGCCATCTACATCAGACCGCGCAAGTCTGCCTCTATATCTTGGCCCGCTCTTTTGCAACACCATTCGCCACCGAACCTCTGGCTCCCCATCCACCTGTTGCCACATCTTTGCCCTCGTCGACTCAAGGACCAATACCAGATTGAGCCAACAGCCCGGGAACGCATCTTCGAACCTTCGCATATACTTGAGCTGAGCCGTCAGCTTTGGCCTCCTTCCAGCATGGCCGCCGCCGGCTACCAGCTCGTCCCAAGCCGGGACAGCGAGGAGACCTGCGTGTCTGAGGGCGATACAAAGGACGCTTTCAAGGAACAGCACCTGTCCACCCCTGCGTCCATCGAGGGCACCGGTGTCAAATCTGCAACCCGCAGGAACCGTCGTTTCCTGCTGCTCAAGGCGGTCGTCTCCGTCCTCCTCCTGGGCTCTGCTGCTCTTGCCGCATGCTGTGCCTACCGCAGCCCTTCCTTCCAAGCAGTCTGGACGGACAGACCCATCACTCCGTATGTCGCATCCTCAGCCGCTGCTGACCAGAGCCTCGTCTTCGGCGTCGGTATCGGCGATGTGACCGGCCCCGTCGTCGAAGTCAACATGATGGGATACGCTTCCCTTCCGCAGACAAACACCGGACTCCACATCCGCCTTCGCTCCCGCGCCTTCATTGTCGGCTCGGCTCAGGCCGAATCGCCGAGCTTCCGCGCACGACTCGCGTCGCGATTCAAGAGCTTCATTCCCACCGCCGATGGCGCAGCCGATCGATGGATCTTCATTAACTCGGACATCTGCATGGGCGACAGCGCGCTGCGCAAGACCGTAGTCGACCGCCTCCGCCAAGAGCATCCAGGCTTATATGGAGAGCGCAACGTAGCCTTTGTCGGCACCCACTCGCACGCCGGACCCGGCGGATTCATGCAGGCACTGCTGCCCACGCTCACCTCCAAGGGCGTCATCCTGCAGAACTTCGACGCCATCGTCGAAGGAACCGTCCGAGCCGCTCTTCGTGCGCACGACGATTATCAGGCACGAAGCGACCGCATCGCCCAAGGAGCAGGTGTCCGCCTCAGCTATGGCAAGACGAGGCTGGAGGATGCGCACATTCAGCGCAGCCGCTACGCGTACGAGCAGAATCCGCAGCACGAGCGAGATCTGTACAACGACGAAGACCAGGACCACGACTTTAGCCTGCTCAAGTTTGAGGACCTTGCACCTCAGCACGAACAGCCTGCTTCGGCAGCTGGCTTTCTATCTTGGTACGCTGTGCACGGCACATCGCTGTACGAGAACAACACGCTCACATCGGGCGACAACAAGGGGCTCGCAGCGCTGCTGTACGAGAGTGCCCAGCAGCCCGACCAGCTGCCTGGGCAGAACAGCTTTGTCGCCGGCTTCTCGCAGGCACTTGTGGGCGACACGTCACCCAACACCAAGGGTGCGTGGTGTGACGATGGCTCGAAATGCGATCACAAACACTCGACCTGCAGCAACAGCAAGGGCCAGGATCGCGTGCAGACCTGTCATGGTCGCGGGCCCGCCTGGGGTCACGACGAGTATATCGACGTCAGCCCGACGGGCAGCTACGATTTTGCGTCCAACGAGATGATTGCGCGCAAGCAGGTCGATGCGGCCCGCAACATCATGCAGCGCGATCCCGAGTCCACAGCGCGCACGCAAGACGAGTATGATCGCATGACGATGCTCACTGGGCCGGTCAAGAGCGTCAAGATGAACGTCGACATGAGCCAGTATACGGTCTACAGGCCGGATAGATCGCGCGTCAAGACGTGTCCCGCGGCGCTTGGGTACGGCTTTGCGGGCGGCACGACCGATGGACCCGGTGCATTTGACTTTGTGCAGGGCAGCAACAAGACCGACCATCACAACCCGTTCTGGGACCTGGTCAAGGGATTCATCAAGAATCCGGGCCCGGAGCAGATCGAGTGTCAGGCTCCCAAGGCGGTTCTGCTCGACATTGGCGAGATCCACAAGCCGTACGACTGGGGACCGTCGGTGGTAGAAGTGCAGATGCTGCGTGTCGGCCAGCTGTTCATCCTCATCGTTCCGGGAGAGTTTACCACCATGGCCGGCAGGAGGTTGAAGCGCGCCGTGTCCGACGCGATCGTGCGCGCGGGGTTGCTGCCGGAGGGGGTGCAGCCGATCGTGCAGGTGAGCGGCCCCGCCTCGACGTATGGGCACTACGTCACGACGGAAGAGGAATACAGTGTGCAGCGGTACGAAGGGGCAAGTACGCTGTTTGGGCCGCATACGCTCGAGGCGTACATGGACGTGTTTTCGCGTCGCCTGGTGCCTGCGCTGCGCGAAGGGGCGCGCGACCTGCCCGTGGGCCCTCAGCGCGCGTTCGACATCCAGAAGGCGTGGAAGCTCAAGACGGGCGTGGTGTACGACAATCCACCGATCGGACACGCATTTGGAGACGTGCTCGAACAGCCGCTTCTGTCGTATCCGATCCCTAACCGTGCCAACGCTACGCTGTTCGGCGACTCGCCGGTGGACGTGCAGGCTGCACCGTCGAATATCAGCGTGACGTTTGTTGCGAGCAATCCGCGCAACAACCTGCGTCTCGAAGCGACGTACTTTGAGGTGCAGCGCTACAGTGACCGTGGCGAATGGATCACCGAACGCACGGATGGTCATCACTCGACCACGATGCGTTGGACACGAACCAACGAGCTGCACGGATCGTCCAAGATCCAGATCAGCTGGGCTGTGGAAGGCTGGACCCAACCGGGGCTGTATAGGGTCGTGTACTACGGCGATCGAAAGGCTCCCTTCACCGGCAAGATATCGCCCTTCGAAGCTACCTCTGCCGAGTTCTACCTCGTCTAAAACCATTGCAGCAACGGATCATGTTTGTTCTTGGCTGTACATGCTCACGATACCCTGCTCGACTCTTGTCGTTTGTTGGAATTCATTGTTGCATCCGGATGTGTCAGTCTGCGTCTTGCACTCAAGGGGGGAAACAGACCAGGCAGAATGTGGATGTTACGGAAACATGGATGGCAGATTCGAAGGCAGAAGGGCGAGTGGAAAAAGTCTAGAGGGTGCCCTTCTTGGCGCTCTCGACGGCCTTGGCGGCGGCCTCGTCGAGGCCGTCAAAGGCAAAGATCTTGAGGTTGGAGTTCTTGATGAGTTCTTTTGCCTCCTTCTCGTGGGTGCCCTGCAGACGCACGACGAGCGGGATGGACATGTCGAGTTCCTGGGTGGCCTGGATGATGCCCTCTGCGATCTTCTTGCACGAGACAATGCCGCCAAAGATGTTGACAAAGATACCCTGCACCTGGTTCGAGTTGAGCAGCAGCTCAAACGCCTTTTTGACCGAAGCCGCCGAGGCGGTACCGCCGACATCGAGGAAGTTGGCCGGGTTGCCGCCGTTGAGCTTGAGCACATCCATCGTGGCCATGGCAAGACCGGCGCCGTTGACGAGGCATCCAATGTTGCCGTCGAGCTTGATAAAGTTGAGGCCGTACTTGGCCGCCTCGACCTCGTCTGGGTCCTCCTGGGTGGTGTCGCGCAGCTCAAACACGTCGGCCTGGCGGAAGTCGGCGTTCTCGTCAAAGCCGAGCTTGGCGTCCATGCAGAGCACCTCGCCGTCCTTGGACTCAGCGAGCGGGTTGATCTCGACCTGCGTGGCGTCCTTCTCGTCAAAGAGCTGGTAGAGCTTCTGGAACGTCTCGGCGGCCTGCTCCTCCTGCTTGACGCCGGTGAAGCCGAGCTTCTTGGCGATGGCCAGCGCGTCCTCCTTGCTGAGGCCCTTCTCAAAGTCGATGGGCGTGGTGATGATGGCGTCCGGGTTCTCGGCGGCGACGTCCTCGATCGACATGCCGCCCTGGTTGGAGGCGATCATGACGGGCAGCTGCGTGGAGCGGTCGTTGAGCACGGCCACGTAGTACTCGTGGTGTGGCGGGCGCGCCTCGGCGATCATGACGGCGTTGCACAGACGGCCGGCAGCACCGGTCTGCTTGGTGATGAGCTTGTTGCCGAGCATCTTGGCGGCGAGGTCGCGAGCCTCCTCGGGCGTCTTGATGAGGTGGACACCACCCTGGAGACCCGAGTCGAAGTGACCCTTGCCACGGCCACCGGCGAGGACCTGCGCCTTGATGACGATCTCCTTGCCGCCGAACGACTGGGCAGCCTTGAAGGCCTCGTCGGGCGTCTTTGCGGCGATGTACTTGGGCGTGGCGATGCCGTACTTGTTGAGGATGTCCATGGAGAGGTGCTCGTGGATCGAGAGGTAGCGCTTCTGGGCGGCGGCGTTGCCACCGCGGACCATGGTCCTGGCCATCGA